TCATCCATCCCATAATCATCAGATTCAAGCCTTCCTTTATCATCCCTCAAAGGTCCTACCCTCATCCTAACATTTTATTTACCCTTAATGTATTTAAAGTAATCCTTACTGTTAATTTATACATTTTCAGCCAACCTTTTTTCATACATTTTTTTTTATGTCCTACATTTCCTGTTTCACCAACTTTCTTGATCTTCTATAATCTTCAAAATCTCCAGTCCTACTAGTCAATTTATATTTCTTAAATTTGTGATGCTTTTCTATAATTTTATCTCTTATACCCTTTGTGAACCAACCTGATTTTGTTACTTGCAGCTACTTTTTTTTTGTTTAAGTAATATGCTTATCTTGAATATTTAAAAATTTTCCTTGTTTAATCAGTATCTCCAAGTAACTCATCTCCCCAATTCACAAGAAATTCTTGTCGCATCATTTCAAAATTTGCATTTTTGAAATTTGTAACCAAAATATCATTATTCCTTATCTCCATGTGCAGCAAAACATTGAATCGAACCTAATAGTTCAATGATCACTTGCACCTAGATGTTCCCCAGTTTCCACTCTCTCGATCCTTTCTATATTTGAAGTTAACAATAAATTTAAAATATCTAATTGGTAAAGAAAATCATCTTGAACAGTTTTGAAAAACCTTTCTCCCTCATGGTTTGACTCTATCTGTCTGATATTAAAATCACCAATAATTATGACTTCATTAACACCTGAAATCTTAATCTCAATGTAAAGTTCCTCAGTATCATTTGGTGGTCTGTAGCAAATTCTCACTAAAAGCCTTTTCCTTTTATATTCGCTAATATAAACCCAAATGCATTTTATCTCCTTGATATCCTCAACTTCAACAGTAACTCGCATGTTACATATAAAGCCACCCCCCCTCTTTAGTATTCTATCCCTATTAATTAACCTGTAACTCTGTATTTCAAAGAAATTTCTGTCATCAAAATCGTCAAATTATATATAAACACACACACCATGGAATACAGTAAAACACAATTTTACTTGAATAATAAAATCGGAACATACCAACAGATGGTGCATTCTTCATAGTCATCTTCTTACATTTGACTGATAATGTAATATCACATGGTAGAAAATGACCAATAACAAATTACCCTGTTTAAACTGCTAATGCATGGTGAGATGATAATTTATTCAACTTGAAGCACATAATCTTTAATAATAGTAGAGAAACTAAGTTGTAGTTAGGGTTACCACCTGTTGCATGTGTTTATAGTGAACCGATCCTTATTCACTAGCAAACTGCAGGACTTCATTTCAGGTTAGATTGAAGGTGATGTTTTCCTTATTTTGCCTAAGATGCATCAGTGTTCTTTGTAAATCTTTAAGGTTTTCTGACTTGACCAGTATACTTAAATTATCAATGTTTAAACACCAACAAAATGTTAACATATTTTTTTCTGTTCAGGTAGCAACACAAACCATAGCAATAGCAGTAACACTAACTAACTAACTAGTCAACCTAATTTTAAGGCTTGTGTTGTTAGTTTTGTATTCACTAAGATTAACGTTTACAGTCACATAATAGGGAAACAAGCTTATTAGTCTTCCAGTAATAGTGTTTGTATGAGTGTCCTATATATAACTATTAAAATTAAGACTTTGATCTTGTAAGTGTCTTGTGTCATGAATTGACTAGATGACCAATGTTAAATAAAACAGTTGAGGATTTTATCATACCTTAAGAACTTTGTGTTTGTTTGTTGCAAAAATATTTTATTTTTAAGATGAAAATTCAATAAAGATAGATAAATCTGGTGATAATCTTAAATAGCCATTCTACATTGTTCTACAAAGGTTAAAACTAAAACGTTGATTTTTGACCTGTTGTTCTCCAGAGTGTAAACGTAAGTTTATAATTCTTAAACCCAGTTTAGTTAGTGGATCAAAGAGAGGAGAACCTATTCCAACTGTCTGTCTTTGCAATTCATTTTACAGCTCATCTGCTACTGAATAGCCTAGAGCTAAGAAAGAACAGTTTTTATTAAAAACTTAAAACTTACAACCAACAGTCAGTACTGTAAAGGATTGAAATGTGAGGCCAGTAGCTTTGAACAGTATAACCACAAGTTGCACTGTTTAAAACATTGGCACCATGTCCACACATTTCAATCTACTTGTCTGACAGCAAAGAATTTATCTGATGAAAAAACATAATTATCCATCAGTTTTCCTAGGCATGATTAAGATGTTTGAATTTGTCACATAGATGAATCAGTGTATACACATGAGTACTTAGGTACTGTTGAATTCATGGGGTTCTGATTAATAAATGTTTAATCACTAATTTCAATTATTTGTTTATTTTCCTGAGGCTAGTAGATTTAATTGTAATTTTGATTAAAGAATTATTTTGCATGACACTAATGTAACCACTGCTCTTAGGTAATCAATTAATTGAATTAATTGCCCAGAATCAATCATATGTTACATTTACTGTATTCGTCTCTGACTATGGTCACCTTTTCCTTCCACAACTGCCACTTGCAGTTTTTCTTCTGGTGTATACCAAATTAAAGATGATTTATATGAAAAACCTCTGGTTGACTGTTGACTTAAATAGACATGGATTTATTGCATCATTATATTGTGGGTGTGCTAGAAAAAGAGACAAAGCTCACTGAACCTACATGGTTTATATGATAGGAATAATTATTACTCTCTCTCCAACAGGGTTATAGAGTAATGATGCAATAGCTTAAGTTATTTTATTTTAAATATATTTCTTCCCTGCAGATACTACCAAAGATGAACAATGCAGAAGATAATAAAATATTCCAGGACATTCTGACATATACAGATTTCCATACCAGTATGGATACTTTGAACAGTGAGCCAATAAAGAGGGCTATTCCTTGGCCTTGCTGGGGAAGAGGTTTACGTTGTCCTACCAAAGAAGAATTTATGTCACAGTGGACCCATTTAATACCAGAGCCAGGAGTAAGCATCAGCTGTCAGAAGTGCTTGATTTTCAACTCTTTGTTAATTAGTTTTACCTGTTTTTAACAACTGTATGTCAACTGTTCTCTGTTGTCACGTGTTGAAGATTAGGAGGTTAAATTGTCTTGAATCTTTTTTCAAATTCAAATTTTGAATTTGAGTGGTGTAAATTACTCCAATGTTAAACTTGTAATGGTACTCTAGTCTTAGGTATATTTCAACTCACTGGTATATCATAAAACAGGATAAATACATTGTTTTATTAAATAAATACAATCTAACAACTATCTGTTGTCTCTTGGTGTTTTAAGGATTAACTTGTTTACTTGAACTTAGATCCATTAGTTTAGATTCAGCTTACAGATGTAGGTAGGTTATAACATAAATCAGGCTAAATACATTTTATTATTAACATTACATATATTGTTCTGGTAAATTATTAAGTTCTATATAATTAAAGATAAACTTTATTACTTTAGTGTGAAGACAAATAGTGATAAAAAATTAATATAATTGGTTCTTAAACATTAGGCTTAAAAGTAACAGTGTTAATCATAAGCTACTTGTATTGAGTATTTATTTTCAAGCCATAAGTATAAATACAGTGGTCAAGACTAGTGTAGGAGTTAAACGTTCACAGTTTGTTAGGTGTAATGGGTGCAATGAGTGGGTTTTTATTTGGGAACTTGGGACTGGAATGTACTTTTAAGGAAACTAGCAATGAAGATGTGCAATTGTTATGTTGAGTTTGTAGGTTGGAGGAGAAGTTTGAGGCTATCATAATTAAAGTAGAGGCAATAGATAAAGAGAAGTTTTAACTGTGGTAAATGACAGCAGGATTTCAAGAGGAGCTTAAGCTTTTACATGTAAGGAATACATCAGCTAACAATGACTTTCAGAAAGTTATAAGGAGTACTGTTAGGGCTAAAAGTAGTGAATTTAGTTATAATGAAGCTATTCTGTTGAGCAACAAATTTCAGCCCTTGGCTTCTGCAGATGAGGAACTATTGGAGGGAAGGAAAACAAAAGGGTTAGAGAAGGATGTGGATGATGAGGAGGTTATAGTTATAGGTGATTCCTGGACAAGACATGTGAATAGAATAGTCTGTGGGGTAAATAGGAAGAAAAGAATTAGATTATGCTAACTAGGGGCACAGGTAGAGGATATAACTGACAGAGCAGGAGATATAACAAAGAGGGCTAGCAGAGATGCAGTTTTTGTTGTGCATGTAGGGGCTAAGGATGTAGTGAAAGGTAGATCAGAAGAATCAATTAATAAGTACAAGAGGTTGATAAAGGCACTTAAAAAAAACGGTCATAACTTAATTTTTTCAGGGATACTGCCCAGAATTAACTGTGAGGATGAAGTTTATAAGTAGGTCACTAGGGCTAAATGCTAGGCTTAGGTTAGTATATAAGGATGAGCATATTGGCTGATTGAACTTGTGGGATCAGTTCAGTGGAAGAAGGGAGCTTTTCAGAATGGATGGTTTACATTTAAATATGGAAGGGACTGGCTTGTTTGCTAAGGCTATTAACTCAGCTGTAAGGCAAGTTTTGTTTCTCATTAATTTCATCAGTATCATTTGGTGGTCTGTAACAAGTTCCCACTAAAAGCCTTTTCCCTTTATATCCACTAATAGAAACCCAAATGGATTCAATTTCCTTGCTATCCTCAACTTCAACACGATATAACTCACATTTTACACATAAAGCCACTCCTCCCCTCCCATCTCTCTAATATTCTATCCCTATTACATAGCCTGTAACCCTGTATTTCTAAAAATTTCTGTCATGAAAATCATCTATGTTTAACCATGTTTCAGTTATTCCCATTACATCAAAATCCTCCATTCCTACCAGTGCTCTGAAGTTATCTAGTTTATTTCTTATACTTCTAGCATTACAATAGTAACAGTTATGTCTGTCCTTATAAAGTACTTCATTTCCTGTGCTAAACTTTTCTCTGCCTCTTATTCTTTGTGCATTTAGTTTTTCTTGGCTCTCACCACTGTCTAGTCCTAGTTTTTTACAATGAGATTAAGATTTCAGCTGTTAATGAAGTCATAATTATGGGTGATTTTAATTTCAGGCATATATATATTGGAAAATTCTAGAGTGAAACCATGAGGGAGAAAGGTTTTTGGAAACTGTTCAGGATGGCTTTCTTTACCCATTAGTCAAGGAACCTACTAGAAACAAGGCTATTTTAGATTTATTGTTAACTTAAAATATAGAAATGATCAAGAGGGTCGAAATTGGGGAACATCTGGGTGCAAGTGATCATTGATCTATTAGGTTTGATGTTTTGCTGCATATGGAGATAAGGAATAATGATATTTTGATTAAAAATTTCAAAAAAGCAAATTTAGAAGGGATACAAGAAGAATTATCTGTTGTGAATTGGACAGCTGAATTATTTGGAGATTGATCAGATGTGGAAAATTTTTAAAGATAGATCTTTATATATTCAAGGTAAACATTCTTTCTAGAAAGAAAAGGGTAGCTACAAGTAAAAACCAGGATATAAGAGATAAAATTAAAGATCACAAATTTAATAAATTTATATTTACTGGTGTGATGGGAGATTTAGAAAATTATAGAAGATAAAGAAAGTTGGTGAAACAGGAAATTAGGACATCAAAAAGGATGTATGAAAAAAGGTTGGCTGAAAATGTATAAATTAACAGTAAGGATTACTTTAAATACATTAAAGGTAAACAAAATGTTAGGATGAGGGTAGGACCTTTGAGGGATGATAAAGGAAGGCTTGAATCTGATGATTATGAGATGGCTGGGTTATTAAATTTTGTTTCTTTTTTGGTTATTACTAACAAAGATTTAAGGAGTATGTCTCATCTTGACCAGTTGATAAATGGAAACAAAATAACTACATTAATTCTGAGCTGGTTAAGAAAAGATAGGGAAGTTTAAAGAATGATAAGGGTCCTGGTCAGATAATATTTCCCCAAGGGTTTTGAAGGATGTTAAAGATTGGATATGTTAGCCACTTACTACTATTTTTTGTTCAGTTCTTGAATAATGGGTAGGTACCAGAGGATTGGAAGTTAGCTAATGTAACTCCTATTTTCAAGGAAGGTGATAAAAATTGTCCAAGTAATTATAGACCTATTAGTCTTACATCAGTTGTGGGAAAAGCTTTGGAAAGTCATTTAACAAAGTTTAGAATTTTATTGGATAGTCAACATGGTTTCACTAAGGGAAAATCTTGCCTTAAAAATCATTTGATATTCTTTGAAAAGGTTACTGTTTTGGTAAATGAGGGTAAGAGTGTAAATTTGGTGTATCTGGATTTTCAGAAAGCATGTGACAAGGTGCCACATAAAAAGCTTGTAAAAATTATCTCTATAGGTGTGGGGGATAAATTAGGTAATTGGATAGAAGAGTGGCTGGATGAAAGAAAGCAGAGGGTTATTACAAATGGAGTTCAGTAAAACTGGAATAATCTCACAAGTGGGGTACCTCAGGGCTCAGTCTTAGGATCTTTGTTCATTTTGATTTACATCAATGACATAGATGAATGAATGGTCAATAAATTACTTAAATTTGCAGATGATATTAAGGTCTTGGGTGTTGCAAGCTGTGAAGAAGATGCTGTTTATTTACAAAAGGATTTAGGTCATTTAGTGAGTTGGACAAATAAATGGCAGATGGGTTTTGAGTATAATAGATGCAAGATAATGCATGTGGGTTATCATAATTTGAGTTATAAGTATAATTTGGATGGGAATAACCTTAAACAGTGTTATGAAAGAAAGGGATCTTGGTGTACTAGTTGATCAGTCTCTAAAGCCATCCAAACAGTGTCCTGTTGATAGTGGTAGAGCAAATAGGATTTTAGGTTGTATCTACAGAAATGTTGAATACAAGTCTAAAGAGGTTATACTTTCATTGTATAGACCACATTTGTAATATTGTGTTCAGTCTTGGGCTCCTTACCTTGGAAAGGACATTGAATTGTTGGAAAGGGTACAAAGAAGGGTTACTAGAATGATGCCTGGGGTGGAGGGGTTGTCATAGGAGGAGGAGGTCTTGAAATATCTCAAATTGTTTTCTCTTGAAAGAAAAAGAAGAGTTGGGGGTGGGTGTCTGATTGAGGTGTTTAAGATTGTAAAGAGAATTGGTAGTGTTGATGCATCTTGTTTTTTCTTTTAATAGTAGGACTAGGGCACACAAATATAAATTTTGGCAGAGTAGGAGTCATCTTCAGCTAAGATAGTTTTATTTATCTAACAAGGCGGTTGACCTTTGGAATGGATTGCCTTCGGATGTTGTAGAGGCAGTAAATTTAAGTGAGTTTAAGAGAAAGCTTGATAAGTATATGAATGATAAGGGCCGAAATTCAGATTAAAAAAATTGTTTCTTAATAATTTAGTTTAAAGGATGGAACAGCCGAGATGGATCAATAGATCCAATGTTGTTTGAAAACGTTACGTTATGTTAATTCGTTTTGTTCTAAAATATATTGCTGACGTCTCGCCATCTATACAAAGTAAAGTAAACTAAACACAAAATAGCATGAACTAATAAGCGGGTGACGTATTACCAGCCATTTGTCCCACATTATCTTAAAGGCAGTTATTGAAAGCAGTGTGTACGATGTGCTCGTGCAATAGCTAGAGGGGTTAAAATAAGCGATAGTTTAGAACCAATGTTTATTTTTCGCTCGTGAGATGACTAATTCGAACATTTCTAACCTGATTATCCCAAACTGTAGAATGGTATTCTTTTGATAAGTTGTCAAATTAAATTTTCTTATGACTTTCTGTAAGTATGCAATAACATTTAAACTGTTTCTTTAATGTCTACATAGTTGTTGTTACCTATAAGTTTGTTAACAGATGGAAGTAGCAGTTGATAATTATGCATTCCATTGTTTTGCATACAGGAATTGGCTAGTGAAATTGTTAAACAGAAAAATAACTCGATAGTGTAATCTATTGTGATTGATTGCATTTCTTGTTCTTCAGTAAAGAACA